AGCTCCACAAGTTGCAGTTTATCAGCGTTTCTGATATCGCTGAGAAATTTCTCAATTTCTTCCATTTCCTCATTAAACACTGCATCTTGGCGGGTGGCGGCGGTTGCAATTTCTTTGTCTGCTTCCTTTTGAAGTTTTCGATTTTCATCTGAAAAATAAATTCAAATAGGAAAACGTATGTTTTGGAAAACTAACCAATTGAGACTTTCAAAATGCTGCGTTGGACAGATTTCAGCTTTTCCTGTTGATTCTCGTTCATTTTTGGAGCTGCATTCCATTCACTTATTGAATTTCAGAGTTAAAGTTTTTTGAATGAATTGGAAATTCAGAGAACTGCTCGAATTCCAGCATATATCTCGAATACTCACCTGCCTCTTCAAACAGCTTGTCGATCTCTTTCATCAGATTCTCAAATGGTTCATCGTCGTCGTTTGACATCTGAAACAGTCTGAATCTGATGAAACATGTAAAAAAATGCATAGAAAAATATGTTCAGTTGGGATGAAAACCAATAAGAGAAACACCAATAAAACATTTTCAATAGATTTTTTATTAACAATTGCAAAATGTGTTGAAGAAAAAAATCGAGAAATTACTCTAGAGCAAATTTCAGGTCCAGATCGGCACATTTCACATAATGTGCGATTTCACGTTGTGATTCTTTTTGTTTCATTTCGAAGATTGTCCGTTGAAACTCATCCTTTTCCTTTTTCGCTTTTTCGCTCACTTCTTCTTTAGCTTCTCCAAGCCTTTTTATTTCATCCAGCAGCATCTGCCTTTTCTTCTTTTCCATCTCCAGCTCCTCCTTGATAGGCTTGCCACGTTTGTCGGCCAGAGTGAATTTCTTGATATCCATGAATTTTCCCTTGATCTCCTCCGTTTCTTTCATCACTTTTCCCACTTTTTCTTTTGTTCTTTCCTGAATCTGCGCTTTGCTGTCTGTAAATAATGAGAAATAAACAAAGTTATTCCAGAAGATAAAGTATACCGATTCCAACGTTCAGCACTTTCTGCACCAACATGTCCAGCCGGCTTTTTTGGTCAGCAGTTGCTTCAGGAGCTGGAAATTTAGAATTATTCATAATTTTGAAAACGAAGCATCAGTTCTTCTAAGTAACCGTAAATGATCAAAAGATATACCGGCTTCACTGAAGAGTGTTTTCAAGGAGCGTGCATAGTACTCCACAGGCAGGGGATCGGTCGCATCGTAAAGGGTGTTTCTCAAAGAGAGCGAAGACGATGTCATTCCGAGCTGCTATTAATTATTGCTTATTGTTAGAGGGGGNNNTTNNNTTTTTTTCNNAATTTTANAGATTCTTATGTCCNCGNATGANNAAAATAATNGGNTTAAAAGTCTTTTTCTCGCAATGATTCCCATGAATCTTGGTTTGTCTCCAACACTGAAAACTTAATTCGTTTCTAAACTTTAGATGTCTTCCAAAACCAACGCGAGGCCACCTTCAGAAAAGTTGAAAATATGAAGGCTGCGGAGAAGAAGAAGAAGGAGAAAACCGAAGAAATCAAAAAGGAGATTCTCCAAGGCCCAACTGAGTGAATCGACAAGAGCTCAGTGTGCTGATCGAAAAACGGCATGATCTCCAGGACCTGATCAGCGATATGAGCGCCGCATGCAGCGCGTTGGATCAGAAGATGAGAAATGAAATGGTGCAGCATCAGGAGGATATGGAGAAGAAAGAAAAAGCGCATCGCGCCGAAATTATAGAAATGTCGGCCAAGATCTGCGAGCTACAAGAGAAACTAAGTTCCTAACCGATTATTTCAATTTATTTTTTAATTCTTTTTTATTGGTGAAATACAAAAAATGCTTTGATAATTCATTCTGCTCTGTGTACATTCGTGGTTTGAAACCTGATAATATTATCTTTTTCTTTTCTTGATGGTTTTTATTTACCTTTTGTTTTGTGCTCTATAATGATCTCAAGAATTCAAGTGCAAATTCAAATGGACATGCTACGGAATGAGTGGTTTTCATAGGAGGGCCGTCCCAGGCCGGCCATTCACATGTATGATTCTAACAATACATAACTTTTTTGATGTGAACTTTCCAGAAAGTGGGGGTAAACATCAAACTAAATTAG